GAATTTTATAAAATTAATATATAATTATATTAAATATTGATAAAATAATTATTTAATATCAATACTTCTTAAACTAAATTCATCTCAAATTCTATAGATACAGAAATAAGCTTAATTAGAAATAATTAATAATGATCTACTGGATTTATTGGGCTATAACAGTCCACCAGATTGTTTGGCACTACATGTTTATTGGGTTGTTAAATATGTTATTAAAACTAATTAACATGAAATATGTTAACAAATACTGTATTTGTAAAGTGATTTAAGCTTACCAAGTATCATTTTAAAAATTTTAGAATTCCAAAATTCAATCCATAATATGCAAGAAAAAACATAATAAAAATCTGTTCCAAACACTCTAAAACATTAGTAAATACTCATTCATAACTTGCCCATGAAATAAAGCATCTGTGAAAAATGGATGATGTATGTATTGTGCCAGTAGTGCATTTTGCACAGGTGTCATAATATATACATTACACAAAAGTCTTGAAACATTAGGGCTTCACAACAGCACATACATCACACTAATAGAAGATTGTCACACTAAACACATACAGGTGTCCCTTGTGTTATTTTTCTGGACCAATTAATCATGTAATCACAGAACACAAAAATGCATAAAGTGAGTTTTAACATGGATAAAATAGGAATTGGGGACCAGTCCAAAGAAATAACGAAGAAAATCCATAAATGCCATAAACAAATCAACTTTTATTGGTTTATGTAATTAGCACAATGCTACAGGTTTTGTCAGTCTTCAATCACATGATGAATGACCTGGATTTGGCACGTCTGGATCATCACATTCTTGCTCTCTTGAAGGCCCTGGGAAGATGGACTGACGATTTTCAACTTTTTTTAATGAAGTAATTGACTCAGTTGATGGGCAGCATTCTTCTTCTCTCTACAGTGTCTTTGTAGTAAGTCAAAGAATTCTGAATCTCTTTTGCAACTTGGTGCTTTTATCTTTATTTTCTTCAATGATTCAAACTGTACTGTCAATGTGTGTGAAAAATTCAGCCATTTGTTTTGTTGAAAGCTGTTTGATGGGCTTAAAGACACCGCGTTCTTCATCATTTTTATCATCCGTTATTTCTAGAAGCTCTTTATTGGTGAGTTCTGTTGAGTAGAACTTTAATAGTTTATCCAAATTTGCCTAGACTAAATCCTCAAATCCAAGAGATTGGCATCCTGTATCAACAATGTTATATCTTGAATTGAAAAGTTCATATTCAGGATAAAATTCATGTGAATTGGAAACATTAAGCCAAATCTTTTTCCAAACTCCCTTCATATGGGACTGTTTAATTTCTGCCATGCATATCCAATGTTATCAATTGCTTTTTTTTATATTAAAGTTCTTTTAAAGTTCCAGAATTCTTTCACAATATTTGATCTTTGCCATCAGTATCTCTAATTAGTTGCACAAATGTTTTGCTGCGATAATAACTCTTTGAAAGTTATAACAACACCTTGATCCATGGGTTAAATCAGGAATGCTGTGTTTGATGGCAGAAACATAATATTAATTAATGTTCTCATTGATATCAGTGATGCTTAAAGAATGTCCTGGTGCAGCATGTTGATTCTGATGATCGATCCATTAGGCAATCCTTTCCATTTTCTCCATAATCAGTGTCCTTATCTGTGTTATCTTATTTGTAGATATTCTAGTTGCACTTTTACAACTTTATTTTTTCGGACTGATTTCTTATTGTTCTAAAAGTTGATTCTGAGATTCCTGTTCCCCTATGTCTATAGTGTGCTCATACATTCATACCTCTTTATAATATCTAATTTTTCCTCCAGTGATATAGCTTTGTTTTTACCCTTTTGAAGCACCTAGTTTGCTCTTATTTCTTTTGTCCATGTTTGTTGTGAACAAGACAGCAATGTTACTGTACAACTTCTAGCTCTGCATCTGCAATTTGATTAATTAATTAAACACATACTACCTTATCAACACTGTGCTCACAAGATCACGATATCACTGTACAGGGTGACTGTAAAATTTCAACCTGCCATTCATTTATGAACCAATTATCTTATTTTTATTTTATTTTTATAAATCATATTTTAGAGAAAACATGTGTAAGATTGCCGAAGGGGGGTGGAAATGTGTCAAGATGGTCAACAGGTCGTGAAGGGTCGTATGTGGGCGATTGGCACTCAGTCAGACTCTATGGTTACAAAAAACTGTTTATGACGAAAAAAAAAAAGTTTACAAGATTTCCGCAATCTTGGAAGTTCTAAGTCGGCAGCAGCCTCTGGGACGTCTTCTCCTTTCCAACATAGTCCCAACTGAAGGAGTGTCCCTGGTTCACAAAGAACAGTTCTCATGATGTCTCAACAACTCTGGGACAATGTGATTGACTTCTGGTGATGGGAAGATATCCATCCAAGGTCAGGAGACGGAGATGAAGATGGGCATGAGACACACACAACACCTAGTCCACCACTTGGAACTTTTGGAAGAAGCTGCTGTGTCCTTAAATTCTCAGGGTTTTATTAATTTCTGTCCTCGATTGCCCATTCCAATTGGTGGCTTTTCCTAGTTCTTGCTTTCTAAGTGATTGACCACTCATTACTACGTGTAATGAGATCTCAACTTAGATTGTGGGAGAGGTCAAAATCAAACTTTAATTTGATCCCCAACTGGAGTTGGTTGATAGACTTACATTCTTCTATTGTTTAAAAGTTTGCATTGCATTTTCATTAAAAAAAACTTTTTCTAACTTCTTTTTTTTTTCTTCTTTAAAAAAAATTATTTTAACCTGCATTTCAGTGAGGGTTCAGACCTATCCAGAGACTCACACATGCAAAGTAAGATCTAATTTATGTAATACAAATATAACAAGGATACCTATATTACATAATCAAGAATTTTTTAAATACAGCTACATACATAAACAAAACATTTGTTTTACTGTGGTTATGTGCCTTGACTTTCACCTGGGACTAAGCATCGGTATTCTGCAATGGTATATAACTCCATACAATAATAATAATAATAATAAATGTTACAAATTATATTATTTCATCAGAATATACAAATGTTTATCAGTTATTATTTTAATACAATTAACATCAATTGTACTTATTCAAATGATGTAGATAATAAATTCACTTTATATTTGAAATAGTTTTAAAAAAACAATAATTAAACGTACCTATTTTTGGTTCTAATAAATAGAAAAGTGATAAAGAATTTTCATTTATATCATCAACAGTTTTTACCTGTAAAAAATATTTAGTTTTTTTAAATAGTGAATGATAGTTACAATTTCTTTTTAAAAGAGTGCAAAATTTAAAAGTAATTTCATTTATAAATTATTTAATTTCTTAATGCTTACATTCCATTGTAAAACAGATCGTGGAAAAATAGCCAATGGACCAAGTACAAATAAATTATTGTTTAATCGAAAACCAAAATTACTATAACTATCAATCATTAAATTAGATTCTGCTTCTTTGTTTATCATTATTGCAACTGTTTTTCCATCTCCTTCATAACTATAGAATCTAATGTTAGGTTTAAAGCAATTGTTTGGATTTAATCTGAAAGAAAAAAATCTGCATATTAAAACATGATAATTACTACATAAAACTTCAGGCAACTTTATAATAAAAAAAAATTCTATCACAAGTTTGAGATATGTAATAACATCTCAAGAATATTAATGAAATTAAAATGATTTATTTTACTGTTATAGTTTAATTTTATTTAAAATCCTTTAAAAACTATCAATAAAATAATAAGTTAGTCAAATATAATAAAAATTCAGAAAAATAGGCTAATTATATTTCTTCTAAGTAAAAAATTACAAATGTTTAGAATTTTTGGAAATGTTATATTGTAAACATTGAATTATATATTTTAACAATTACAATTTTAAAATAAAAAATTAATCAATTGGTTTTTATAGTTTTATCTACTATATTATTATTAAAAATTAATTTTAATTATTTATCTCATTTATGATTACTAAAAATATATTTATAGATAGGGCTACCATAATAGTTGAAGGCAAAATACGGACAGATGAGCATTAAAAGTACTCAGACAGCGAGGCAAAATAGAGAATTTATTCATAACTTTCAATCTAGTATATGTAGGCATATAATATAAAGTTTCAATTTACGTTTTCCTTTGAGGCACAGAATACAATTTTAAATGTAAGAAAACTTTTTACCATTTACTCGTTACACAAGTACTGTACTCTCAAATTAAAAAACTATTATAATGAATGTGCACATGTTCTCTAAGGGACTATCCATAAGTTACATTCAAATTTTTCTTGAAACTTTTATTTCCCCTCCTGCTGTCGTCTCAGTTTGTCCAAGTTTCCATAACCCCTCCCCTCTTCCATCACTTTATGAATGATAAATATCATAAGTAGAAACAAAACATACAAGAAATTTTGAAATATAATACAATGCATAAACTGTTTAAAATTAATGAAATAATGTATGCCCACCAAAGCTCAACATCTCCTCTGCCCTCATCCAACTTTGTCCTACTTGTCATAATCCCCTTCCTCCTTTCCAGTGTGGATGCCATCTATGGACAGCCCCTAAGCAACAGAGTCGTTACATTTGCTTATACAAGGTTACCACCTAGCCAACAAATACAATAATAAACATCAAAAATTTAGCACCTTTTGTCAGATTTAAATCTAAGTGATTATGATTTAACTATTAACTGTGTGATCAGTTGAAAAATAAGGACATTTCGTTTATTTTTTTCTAAGTACAGTACGGACACGGACAGAGCTTTTAAAGTACGGATTGTCCATACAAAATAAGGACATATGGTAACCCTATTATAGGTAATAGCACAAAACAGAACCTTCTTAATAAATGATTCAAATCTTTGATAACCAAACACAAATTTTAATTTAATAACTTTGGTCTTTTCAAAAAAAAAAAAGTCAAAAGAATTTGTTAAATTAAAATTTGTGCTGTCAGATTCTTACAGTATAATTTGCATCAGAAACAATATAAAACAACAAACTAATTGTTTAAAATAAGTTTGATATATTTCTTGATAATTTGAAATATGACTAAATCTAATGAAAGAGATGACTTTTTATGACTTTTGAAGATTTTATTTGCTTTAAATATTATTTCAGTGGGTTTATTCTTGTATTTTAGGAAAAGTTTTATATAATTTTGAATTATTATTCAGAATATAAACTTTTGAAAATTTTATATTCTGGCAATTGAAAGGATAAAATCTGCTATAAAAGTGTATGTTATTTTCTTAGATACATGTTTGAAGCAGTGTAACTGGAAAAACATACTTTAATTTGGAATTATTGAGGACTTTTTTGGAGTATTCTTCTGTATATCATTCATATTAACTACTTTTGAGCTCTAATACTACATGAAAATACATTCTGTCTAAATATCAAATTTTTTTGAAACAATTATACTTTGAAATAGGTAAAATTACAAGTCAACATTAATAATAGTATCATCCAAACCTGCTAGAAAATTCTGAATTAAATTGAGTACGATACACATTGCTGAATTGTCTAAAATTTGTATACGTTAACGCATTTCTGAGCCTATTCAGTGTATTTAGCATGACTAATTTTTAGAACTCTTTATTATCTTTTCGCTATTTCGTATTAAAACTACACGTGATATACGTTCTACGTCGTATTAGAGATCTAACTGCCACCTATTAAATAAAATTTTTATTAAAATAAAAACAGTAAAAAAATTAATTGTTCTGTTTAATTTCATTAATTAATTAATTAATGTAATGTCGAAATATACACAATTAAAAATTTCAACAATAAATAAATAAAATTTTTAATAAATTATTTAACGCAAAATTTGTATAGTTTTTTTGCGCTCTTTCCGCCCTGTGGGTACTAAGAGGGACTCTTTTTTAACAATCCTATTATGGGTCAGGCCAGGCCTACAATGGAGCGGTCGGGTGGTGAGTGTTGGGTCCAGACCCGACAATATCCAGACGGTCCACCCCCCGAAAATTTCATGTGGATTTTTTAATCCGTCTGGATTCGATCCCGGGTTCCCCAGAATGGTGGACTGCAGCCTTAGCTCGGCCATCCGGCCTCAGTAACTACTACTAAGAATTAATAAGTGAGGTTTGCAAACTGCGTCGGAAATCAAAAGGAGTTTCCCTTTTTTCCTTTATAACAATGCACTTCTTCACACCAGTCATATCTAGGGTTGCCATAAGTTCAAAACTACCTAATCGTAACGTTGTGATAAAAATTAATGGATACCTTTAGGAAGGTAGGTAGCTACATGTACGACATTTATCGTTTGCCATTCTTATTTTCCATTTTTATAATACAAATAGGAGTATTATTTTGTAGAAATGAACAAATCTGGACATTTCGGGAAAATTTTCCAGTGAGGAATCGGGACAATTGAGGAAAACCGGGACGTATGGCAAACCTAGCCACATAACAAAAGCGACTGCTGAAAAAAGTGGATTTCAAGAGCTCCGACAGTTTCAAACAGCCCCGATTTTTCTCCTCTCTGTGACTCTGCTCTGTTTCAAGAGCTGAAAAAATACACCAAATAGTTGATACTTGTCATCGGCTGACGAAGTGAAAGAAGTGATCAAATTTCTGAGCACCTTCGTCCAACATTCTTCAAAAAGGTATATGAAGATCTTGTTCACCGCTGAATAAAGTATTTAGAGCAAAATATTTCGTAAATTTGAAAATAAATGTATGTAATAATGTGTTACTTGTTAGTAAAAGAAGTTAATAGTTTTCTGTTTTTTCGTCCATTTGAGTCCAATGACTACGTACTCGTATATTTGTACAGTACTTATATGTAACTCACGAATAATTACTTCATTTTACATTACATTAATAATGATTCATTTTCATAACGAGTCTTCAAGTAAAAATTTACCCTCTTTTGATTCCCTCTCCATCGTCAGTCATCAGAAATCAATCCCCTAATTATGACGTCAGGCCAGAAGTCTGAACCATTCGTAAATACACAAGAATTACTTCAAACAATCCGTGACGACTGAGGAGAAAATAAATGACTTACGTCATCATAGATTTACCGTCCTCCCCCCGCTGTCAGCAATCGTCAGATACAACAAACGTATCCCTCTCTCCATAAATTGCTGACTTTTAATACTTGAATGTCCTAACATTATTCGCTTTATTTTAAAATAAATTTAATCTTTGTTATAGTATTTAAAGAAAGGGTATAAACGAAAACAAAGGCTCGTGACTCAGTATATAAACTCACACAACAAAAATTATATTTATTCAAGCAACAGCTGCGTTGAATCAACATAATTCATATTATAAAAATATCATGAATAAAAATATCATGATAAAAATATCAAATAAAAAATAATAATAATACTGGTAAATTTAAAAAAAAATGTTTATTTATAAAAGCAAATTATTTTTTTCATTATCCTTATCATTTATTTGATTTAACTGTCCAATATTTTATTTCCAAGAGGTTAAATTAAATTTTAAGTGGACTTAAATTCTTTTATCTACTTTAATTTTTCTTACTTCCTTTTTAGGATCTCAAGTATAATAGAACTAATACTGTATATAAAAGTATAAATTAAATTACTAATATAAATTTTTAAGCGAAAATACCAAGCTACTTGTAAATGTGAATAAATTAAAAGATCAATATAAATTCAATTAAAAATAATTATAAAAAAATCGATTAATCTTTCTTGATACTGAATTGATTAAAATATACTTTATTATTATTTAATTATATAAATTAAATAGAAATTTATCGTTAACATATTTAATTGTTTTAATAAGTTTTTATAATTATACTTTATTGACGGTCGGATGACCGAGGCGGTTAAGGCGTCAATAAAGTATACGTTAATTATACTTTATTGTATATTCGAAAGGAGATCTGGGCGAGTCACCTTCCGAAATTTTTCATCGATGAAAGTCCTGGATATGTCGGGCCCGGCATCGCAATTCATTCGCCCAATTATATGCCTAGTCAAACCTGCAAACCTAGGATGGAGCGGCCGGATGGCCGAGTGGTCAAGATGACAGCCTACCGCTCTGGGAGACCCGGACCCTAATCCGAACGGGTCGAAAAATCACCAGGAAATCTTCGGGGGGTGGTCCGTTCGGATTTGTCGGGCCCCGTCCCTCACCACCCGGCAGCCCCATTGTGGGCCTGGCCGAACCCATAATGGGCTTGCAAAATGAGATCCTCTTAGTGCCCACAGGGCGGAAAGAGTAGAAAGAAGAAAAAGCCTAGGATGGATGTTTTTTTCTTTGGTTTCTTTCCGTCCTGTGGGCACTAAGACGGTCTTTTAGTCAAGTTAATCGTGAGTTCGGCCAGGATCCACAATGGGACAGCCAGGTGATATAAGGGACGGGATTCAACATATCCAAGACAGATCCCCAACAAATTCCTTGGGTTTTTCGACCCATTCACATTTATTCATTTACAGGTTTCCCAGAGCGGTAGGCTGCCACGTTAACCGCTCGGCATTCGACCGTTTCTGAGTGTTTATAGATACATAAGACAGCCATTTTTTTCGTACCCATCGTGGGTGACAACCGAATGGCCCAACAGTTAAGGTTGAAGCCTACCGCTCTGAAAAATCCGGAAATGATTCAGGATAAGTCGAAAAAACCCCAGGAATTTTTCTGTAGGTATTACGTCCGGATATATCAGGACCCCATTACCATCCAGTCCACTCTATTGTGCTTACAGAGCGGAAAAAGTAAAAAAAATTACAAGGCAGGAAGTGCTAAAAAATGAAGAAAAATATTTTATTGACTTTAAAAAAATGTTTAAAAACTATTTAAAACTACTGATTTTTACAATTAAAATAAATAATTAAACAATATTAGGTTCATTTAGAGTATTTTGCAGTAAGATATATGGCGCTTCATTCTCGTTCGTTGTCATTTTCGTCGGTAGGGTGGTATTACACATGGGTGCATTAGATGTAAATAGAATTAAAACACCCTCGTTATTTTAATTTGTGATAAGTTTTATATATATATATATATATATTTGCGTAGTAATCATTTTGGATGTTAATTAATTATTTGAATATGAGTAAAATTTAACGAAATTTATATTAAGTAAGAAATGGCGAATTCTATCGAATCTATAAATGATGCTTCAGGAAATAATGTGTCTGCTAATGAAACGGAAGAAGAAAACACTGAAAGTGATACGAAAGAAAGTATTATTGCCGAAACTGTGAGTGCCGACAATAGTCAAGCTGTTACTGCCACTGATAAAAGTTATTCGAGACTTTGTGGGTATTTAAATAAATTTAAATCGAAAGGAATTATCAAGACATTCAGACGTCGTTGGTTTGTTTTCTCTGAAAATACTTGTAGACTATATTATTACCGCTCACCGAATGATTCGTTGTCTTTAGGAGAAATTGATATAAGTAGGGCAACATTCCATTTCGATCCAACTAATAAAGAAAAACCAGGATTGTTTAGTATACAGTAAGTATCAGAATATAAGTTATGTTGCTTTTATTCATATAATCTGTCAGATTCGTGTTGTTTTATTTTCACTAGAGGCTAACCATCGAGGCTTGTTTTTTATTAAAGAATATTGCCAAATAATTAGCATTTAATGTTAATATTAGATTGAATGTAGTAATAATTTTATAGAATTGATTTTAAGGTGCAAAATTATGGTCGGAAAAGGGGAAAAAAGGTTCTGAAAAAGTATACGAAAAGGTGTTGATGAAATGCATTCATTCTAGTCTAAACCTAGTTACATGAACATTCTTTATCCAACACTATAGCAAATCATAAAGTAAAGATACGTGGGGGACACAAAAAAACCAAATTTTTTGTATAAAAATTTTATTTATTAACTTTTTTTACAAAATTCCTTCAGTTACCTTCAAAGTACTCTCCATTAGATGCGATTCACTTGTCAAGTCTTTTTCTCTACTGTTTGAAGCATCTCTAGAACTCTTCAACCTTGATATCGTCCATTGCCCTTAGGGAAGTGCACCTCCACATCAAAATGCTTCCCTTTTAGATTTTTCTTCATTCTTGGAAACAGAAAAAAGTTGCATGGGGCTAGGTGGTGGATATGGAGGATGGGGAACGACAGGCCATCCCCGAGAGGCCAAATAGTGGGTCACTCGTAAGGCCGTGTGTGCGGGAGTGTTGTCGTGATGAAAGAACCAGTCACCTGATTGCCAAAGTTCTTGGCGTTTCCTTCGCACATCCTCTCGCAGATGTCTTAAAACTTTTTTGGCAAATTTTTTCAACATTTTCATCATTTTGAGATGTTGAAGGATGCCCAGAACTTTGCAGGTGGAACAAAATAATAGTAAGAGAAACACAACACTATGCTCAAACGTAAACCTACAAACTGACACCATCTGCACAGCTGTTTCGTGAAGGTCTCTACTAAACCCATCTAACGGGAGAACTCTCTACTACGTCTACGAATGGCAGTGCACTCTCAGTTTGGTTTNTTAAGTAACAATGGAAGTGTCAACAATGGAAATGCTACGTAACAATGGAATTGTTAAGAGAAAGCGACGTGCAAGACGCAGATGCAGTTTTTTTCATTTTTGCGGGAAATCGAACATATTTTTAGACCCATCTAAAAATTCTCTAATTAGTCTGGAAACAAGGGGACCCAATTCTTGCATTCTGTGAAAACGGGTAAGGA